TTTATTTTTGGAGATATTCAACTTTAGTTGTCATGAAGTGTTATATAATGATGGTTTTTTTCTCTTTTCTTGGAATCTGTCAAAGTAGGTTATTTTATTTAAATACTCTAATTGAGTTTCATTGTGTCTATCACAGTTTTTTAAAGTAATTTTTTCTTTTTTTTTCTTTTTTTTTTTTAAAAGATGACCGGTAAGGGGATCTTAACCCTTGACTTGGTGTTGTCAGCACCACGCTCAGCCAGTGAGCGAACCGACCATCCCCATGTGGGATCCGAACCCGGGGCCTTGGTGCCATCAGCACCGCACTCTCCCGAGTGAGCCACTGGGCCGGCCCTACAGCAAATTTAATTTAAACCTCATTTGGCTTTATTGTGTAATTTTTTCTAAAAATAAAACTTAATGGTGTTTTTAAAATATTGCTGTAAAGCTTACAGATTTGTAGCAGTTTTCTTTAAGGGGGTGAAATTAGTATATTGTATTTAAAAATGCCAGACTTGTGTCTCACAAGTTTTTATAAAGGTGTTTCTTTGGTTTTGTTTTGATTATTTCATTGTCTATCACTCAGTTTTCTTTGCAAGATATTACACTCACAGTAGAGTGTCAGAATAGAATAATTATATTGCCCGTTAATGTTTAAAAGATTAGTCTGCCAGGAGAACCTTGAGTAGTCTAGAACTTCCTTATTAGCCGCTAAACATCTTATTTTTATTTATTTATTTATTTTATTTTTATTTTTATTTTTTAAAGATGGCTGGTAAGGGGATCCCAACCCTTGATTTGGTGCTGTCAGCACCACAGTCTCCCAAGTGAGCCACAGGCCAGCCCTAAACATCTTATTTTTAATTTTTATTTCTTACAGCTAGGACAGGTAATCAGTAATGTTTTTTCTTTTTTATATGAAAGTTTATTGTCATATTTTTCTTTATATTAAGAAACAGTTTATCATTAGAATTTTATTATATATAATGAGCATAATTTTCTTTTCTAGGATGCTGGGAATCTACATGGATACATTAAATATATTTATGCGAGTTGCAACCATGCTAGCAACTGGAAACAACAGAAAGAAATGAAGTGATTCAGCTTCTGGCTTCTGTACTACATCAGATGTCTTGCTTGTTTACTAGGACAGATATTCATTAAGTAGTTCACACAAACAGCTTTTGTTGAAGTGTAGAAGATAAGAACATGTCAACATGTTTAAAAAATTCCAATAATGTAATGTTTCAAGGTCTGCTTTTTCTTTTGGAGAATAAATTGAGTAGTTCTCTTCCAAGTAAGCACACATATTTCCAATTCTCATGTTTAATGAGTGATTTTAAAATGTTTCTGATGAATGTGAAAACTAAGGTTTGTGTGATGAGAATTTAAGTATTTCATCTATTTTTAAGTTAGTTTAAGTAAAAATTAGCAAACTTGTGTTTGCCTGCATTTTTTTCGGAAAGCAGAATATTGTAAGTAATATGATCATAAGTGGTGTAGAGGTTTGGTAAAGGGACCAGAGAGAAGTAAAGGGTCACCTGCAGTCTTTTTTTTTTATTTAATAATACATAGCACTTGTATGATTTGTGATGAGGCAGCGGGTATTTGAAAATAAACAAGTAGTCACTGTTTTTACATTCATCTGCTGAACTTAGTAAAAGCATTGAGCATGAAATAAAGACAGAGATGATGCATTCTCTTGCTGTTGCTTCTCAGTGCTCTCTTTACAATGTAGATGTGGTCATGTTTGACTTATTAGGACAGTCCAGAATGTTAATTGTATGGAGAATCCCTGATGGAGTTATATATTTTAGGGTTTTACTTTTGAATCTTCTGAAACTAAAGATTCTTAGAACTGTTCCCAAGATAAAATATTCAAAGCATGAAACTTTGCATTTTCAAGTATGCAATGTTTATAATTGTAGAGGTGTTATGTTTGGTGTTATTATTGAAGTGTCTAATTGAATACAAGCTTATTTTTCTCATTTCTTCAAACTTTGAAGCCTTTATAAAAAAAGCCCGTTTGTGACTTACACTTGAGATTGTGAAAACAGTTTTTCTCCTAACACTGTTTCTTGTACCACTTCTCAGACTAAGCACTAAAAAACAAGGTAAAACTAGGTCTGTCTTTATCAGAAGTATAATGGGGAAAATGTTTCATTAATTTGTCCTACCGGGATTTTCCTTCTACATCGACTGTTTCTTAACTTTCTTGTGACATTTGTAAGTTCTGTGATACAGAGGAGTTATTTTTGAAAATCATTAATTGAATGGAAAGATTTCTATATGATTATTGAGATAGTTGCTATTTTTGACATATTTATTACAGTAATTCAGAAATAATTATTTTAACCATCTCAAAGTACATAGGATGCTTATTTCTGAAATAATAAAGGTTCCAGCTAGATGGTGATTGGTCTAATTTTTCCGACTGAACCATGTGCATACATTTGAATAGGAATTCATTCAGGAAAGCAACTTAGTCTCTTGCCAAGATAGTGCAGTACAGTGTGATCAAGGTAGAGTGGTACTCATTGCTAGGCTACTTCTATTTGAATCCCAACCCTTTTGCTTATTTCTTATGTGACTTTAGGCAAGTTGCTTCCTCAGTCTCTTGCCAAGATAGTGCAGTACAGTGTGATCAAGGTAGAGTGGTACTCATTGCTAGGCTACCTCTATTTGAATCCCAACCCTTTTGCTTATTTCTTATGTGACTTTAGGCAAGTTGCTTCCTC